TATGCAGGCACAGGGAGGTTGCTAGAATTGTGAAAGGCCTGGTGTACATAGTTACATAGTTAGTCTGGCTGAAAAAAGACAAAAGTCCATCCAGTTCAACCATTAAAAAAAAAAAAAAAAAAGTTATAATTAGAGATGAGCGAATCGAACTTGGCGAAGTGGAATTCGTTTCGAATATTAGGAAAAATTCGCGCCGAATCCGAAAATTAGCAGACTTCGGATGTGCGAATCGAAATTTTTCCAAAAAATGGTGGCGACATGTGTGGCGACGGAGCGGGGATATCTGGGAAGGCGCGCAGACAAGGCGCGCTGACCCATAATGCATTCATTCATGACATGTGATCGCATTAGCCAATCAGCAGCCAGCCAGCCAGCACTGTGTAATGGTGGAGCTATAAATTCGGCCATCTTACAATTCTCCATTTGCCTCCGGTCATTCAAGAGAGACAGACCTCTCTGTATTAGGGACAGAGTTAGGGCCACAGATACTTTAGGGACACAGAATCGTTACTTAGGGACACAGAATTGTTACTCAGGGACACAGAATTGTTACTCAGGGACACAGAACTGTTACTCAGGGACACAGAATTGTTACTCAGGGACAGACACAGAATTGTTACTGAGGGACACAGAATTGTTACTGAGGGACACAGAATTGTTACTCAGGGACACAGAACTGTTACTCAGGGACACAGAACTGTTACTCAGGGACAGACACAGAATTGTTACTGAGGGACACAGAATTGTTACTGAGGGACACAGAATTGTTACTCAGGGACAGACACAGAATTGTTTACTGAGGGACACAGAAACTGTTACTCAGGGACACAGAACTGTTACTCAGGGACACAGAATTGTTACTCAGGGACAGACACAGAATTGTTAGTGAGGGACACAGAATTGTTACTGAGGGACACAGAATTGTTACTGAGGGACACAGAATTGTTACTCAGGACAGACACAGAATTGTTACTGAGGGACACAGAATTGTTACTCAGGGACAGACACAGAATTGTTACTGAGGGACACAGAATTGTTACTGAGGGACACAGAATTGTTACTCAGGGACACAGAATTGTTACTCAGGCACACAGAATTGTTACTCAGGGACACAGAACTGTTACTCAGGGACACAGAATTGTTACTCAGGGACAGACACAGAACTGTTACTCAGGGACACAGAATCGTTACTCAGGGACACAGAATCATTGAATTAAAGAGTATGTCAGACAACACGCAGAGGAGTGTCAGAGGAGGCAATGTTTTAGGAGCGAGCAGACGTGGCAGCAGAGGAAGGGGTCGAGGCAGCACTAGTCGCAGCCAGAGGCCAGTGCTCCCGGTGTCATCCAGCGGTCGTGTCTCCACCGACAACCCTGCCGTCATCGATTGGTTGGCTCGGTCGTCTTCCTCTTCCCAGGTCACCTCTGACACCTACAGCCAACGGTCGGTGGGTACGTCAGACACAACCGTTAGTTGGCATGGCCCGGGAGCAAGCCCACTGAAATCACGTGTCCTCTACCTGCCCCTGTCCTTTGGTGTTCCCTCACCAAGCGAAGTATCGCATGCTGTGGGCTCAGCCCCACTGTACAGTGAGGAAGAGCTAACAGAGGGCGGTCAGGAACGGGGGGAGACATCCGCCTCTTCAGCAGCCAGGCGAAGAAGTACTGGCGAGGAGAGTGGCTCGGTAGCCGGTCTAGAGACAGGTCTGTCTCCTGACCCACACGCAGCCGAGGGGGCTAGTAGTGAGGCGGAGACCCTAATTGATGATGATGAGGCTGATCGCACTTGGCAGCCTCGTCGTCATCAGGCTATTTCTTCCGCATCATCAGGAGAAGAGGGTGCCAGCTTGGCAGCGAGCAAAACAGTCGGTGGTTTGCCCAGGAGGCAGCAGGGTCGCAGCAGTGTCAGTGGAGGCAAACGGCCACGGAGTAGAGCACCCAGCTCCACTGCAGCCTACCACCACGGCCAGTAGTGGTGCCGGTGTGCACGGAGGAAGAGCAGCAGTCAGCCAGTGAGGAGTAGCGGGGGCAAAGTTTCCTACTCGGCGGTGTGGCAATTTTTCGTCAAGCCGCCCGAGGAAGTAAACGTAGCCGTATGTCGACTATGTGGCCAGAAAGTCAAGCGTGGCCAGGGGGCCCATGTTGGGACTACAGCGTTGCGTCAGCATATGCAGCGTCGCCATTCGGTGGCCTGGGAAAACCGTGATAAAGATACGGCGGTTCTGCCTGCCCCAGCCCCCGCTCCATCACCCGCTCCGTTACTTGCTCCGTCACCCGACGTCAATCGCCCTCTATCAGCCAGTCAAGGCTCTCCAACACCTCTGCTGAGGGGAGTTGTCGCTCGTTGGCATCTTCCGCTCGTTCAGATGCTCCTTCTCCTGCTACTCCTCTTCACGGATTCCGTCAGCAGTCTTTCTTGGAATCCGTTTCCAAGAGACAACAGTTTGCGAGCACGCACCCGACGACGGTGCAGAAGCTGAACGTCCTCCTGTCCAAGTTGCTGGTGCTGCAGTCCCTCCCTTTCCAAGTGGTGGACTCAGCACCTTTCCGAGAAATGATGGCTTGTGCCGCGCCGCGGTGGAGAGTGCCAAGCCGGCATTTCTTCGCCAAAAAGGCAGTGCCAGCCCTGCATTCACATGTAGAAGAGATGGTGGGCCAGTCTTTGAGCATGTCGGTCTCTGCCAAAGTGCACGGCAGCGCCGACGTGTGGAGCTGTAACTACGGTCAGGGACAGTACATGTCATTTACGGCCCACTGGGTGAACGTGGTGCCGGCACAGCCGCACCAGCAACTTGGACAGGTCACGCCGCTTTTGCCTCCACGTTTGCACGTCCTTGGTCCAGCAAAGATGTCCGCCTCTACCACCTCTTCTTCCGCCGTGTCCTCAGCCGCCACCCCCCCGTGCCAAGTCCCATTACCCGACCGGCATATCACATGTGCAGGGGCGCAACGGTGTCACGCTGTGCTGCACCTGGTATGCCTTGGCGAACGTAGTCACACAGGGGAGGAACTTCTGAGTGTAATGAACAGAGAAATCGACAGATGGCTGTCTCCGCGCAAACTGAAAATCGGAACCATGTTGACCGACAACGGAAAGAACATGGTGTCTGCTCTGCGTCAAGGAAGGTTGTGCCATGCGCCATGCATGGCTCACATGTTCAATCTGGTTGTCAAGCGGTTCCTAAAATCCACCATCCCACTGCAAGACATCCTTAAAATGTCACGTAAACTTTGCATGCATTTCAGCCATTCCTACACCGCAAAGCACACCCTCCTTGAGCTGCAGCGGCAGAACGGAATTCCACAGCATCGCCTGATCTGCGACGTTGCAACAAGGTGGAATTCAACCCTACATATGTTAGACCGCCTTTACGAACAGCGAAAGGCCATCACCGATTTCCTGATGTTACAAGCGGATAAAGGTACTCCCCTGTGTAACTTAGATGTCAGCCATTGGCAGCTCATGCGTGACACCTGCCGCTTGCTCAGGCCCTTTGAGGAGGCCACGCTATTCGTGAGTCGGCAGGACTATGGGATGAACGACGTCATTCCTCTGTTGCACGTCCTGGAACAAATGCTGTTAACAATGGCTGGTCAGGGTGCGGTAGACGTGGCGCACAGATCTCAACGCCACATGACCCCTGTGGGGGCAGGACAGGAAGAAGAGGAGGAGGTAGAGGAGGACATTGGTGCTCAGGAATTATTGAGTGAAATGGGTGGTTTTTTCCACTCAGCGGACAGGAGTGGAGGAGCAGGAGCATCTGGTAGAGGAGGAGGAGGAGGAGACAGAGGACCCAGACGACGCACCGTGGCAGTATGCTGTGGAGATGGAGGCAGGGAGTCCCTCGCATTCCTTGGCACAAATGGCCCATAGCATGCTCGGTTGCTTGCGCGTAGCGACAGCCGAATAATAACCATCAGACAGAGGGATGACTTTTGGCTGTCCACCTTGTTGGACCCTCGCTACCGTTCAAAAATGGTGGCCTTTTTCACACCTGCTGAGAGGGAGGCCAAAATAACGTACTATAAAAACCACCTATGTAGTCAGTTGGTCTCTGCCTTTCTGCGCCAACGTCCATCCTCAGACACTGTGGGCCCTGTGCGCTCGCTCGCGTTCCGCTGCCATGGCAGCAGGGGAGGGGTGGGGTGGTAGGAGCAGTGGCAGCTCCACCAGCAGCGGCTGCCTCAGTCTGCAGTCGATGATGAGTAGCTTTCTTCACCAGCGCAGTGAGGAAACTACTAACCAGCCGCAGCAGCAGCAGCAGCATCAGGTGGACCTGGAGCAGGACCTCAAACAACAGGCTTGGGCCTACTTGGACAGCACCCTGCCAACCGAGGTAGACAATCCCCTTGACTACTGGGCAACGAAACTTGACCTTTGGCCCCAAACTAGCTGAATTTGCCCTTGAAAGGCTGTCATGCCCCGGCCAGTAGCGTGGCATCGGAGCGCGTGTTTAGTGCGGCAGGAGGTATTGTAACTCCGCGGAGGACACGACTGTCCACCCAAAGTGTGGAGACTCACGTTTGTGAAAATGAATCAGGCGTGGATTAGTCTGGATTTCAAACCACCAGTTCCTGACACAACTGACTAAATCCGCCATGAATCATGCCCCAAACATGTTATTATTTTTAACATAGGCCTCTGTATGGCCTTCAATTTAAGCTGCTTACGCTTCGCCACTCTGCCATGGGCCCCTGTACCGCCTCCTCTTGCTGCTGCCAGGTCCAGAGTGTGTCATGGGTCCCTGTACGGCCTCCCATTGCTGCTGTCTCCATCGCCACACTCTGCCCATGTGCCACTTTCAGGTCTCCTCACACTGCTGGTGGGTTCCATTTTGTCATAGGGTGCTGGCAGATTACGGGCCTCCCATTGCTGCTGCCAGGCCCGTAATCTGCCATGGGCCCCTGTACCGCCTCCTCATGCTGCTGCCAGGTCCCGTAATCTGTCATGGGTCCCTGTACGGCCTCCCATTGCTGCTGTCTCCATCGCCACACTCTGCCATGTGCCACTTTCAGGTCTCCTCACACTGCTGGTGGGTTCCATTTTGTCATAGGGTGCTGGCAGATTACGGGCCTCCCATTGCTGCTGCCAGGCCCGTAATCTGCCATGGGCCCCCATACCGCCTCCTCATGCTGCTGCCAGGTCCAGAGTCTCTCATGGGTCCCTGTACGGCCTCCCATTGCTGCTGTCTCCATCGCCACACTCTGCCATGTGCCACTTTCAGGTCTCCTCACACTGCTGGTGGTGGGTTCCATTTTGTCATAGTGGGTGCTGGCAGATTACGGGCCTCCCATTGCTGCTGCCAGGCCCGTAATCTGTCATGGGCCCCTGTACCGTCTCCTCATGCTGCTGCCAGGTCCAGAGTCTCTCATGGGTCCCTGTACGGCCTCCCATTGCTGCTGTCTCCATCGCCACACTCTGCCATGTGCCACTTTCAGGTCTCCTCACACTGCTGGTGGGTTCCATTTTGTCATAGGGTGCTGGCAGATTACGGGCCTCCCATTGCTGCTGCCAGGCCCGTAATCTGCCATGGGCCCCCGTACCGCCTCCTCATGCATGCTGCTGCCAGGTCCAGAGTCTCTCATGGGTCCCTGTACGGCCTCCCATTGCTGCTGTCTCCATCGCCACACTCTGCCATGTGCCACTTTCAGGTCTCCTCACACTGCTGGTGGGTTCCATTTTGTCATAGGGTGCTGGCAGATTACGGGCCTCCCATTGCTGCTGCCAGGCCTGTAATCTGCCATGGGCCCCCGTACCGCCTCCTCATGCTGCTGCTGCCAGGTCCAGAGTCTCTCATGGGTCCCTGTACGGCCTCCCATTGCTGCTGTCTCCATCGCCACACACTCTGCCATGTGCCCTTTCAGGTCTCCTCACACTGCTGGTGGGTTCCATTTTGTCATAGGGTGCTGGCAGATTACGGGCCTCCCATTGCTGCTGCCAGGCCCGTAATCTGCCATGGGCCCCCCCCGTACCGACTCCTCATGCTGCTGCCAGGCCCGTAATCTGCCATGGGCCCCCGTACCGACTCCTCCCATGCTGCTGCTGCCAGGCCCGTAATCTGTCATGGGCCCCTGTACCGCCTCCTCATGCTGCTGCCAGGTCCAGAGTGTCTCATGGGTCCCTGTATGGCCTCCCATTGCTGCTGTCTCCATCGCCACACTGCCATGTGCCACTTTCCTGCCAGGTCTCCTCACACTGCATGGTGGTAGTTCCATTTTGTCATAGGGTGCTGGCAGATTACGGGCCTCCCATTGCTGCTGCCAGGCCCGTAATCTGCCATGGGCCCCTGGCGTACCGACTCCTCATGCTGCTGCCAGGCCCGTAATCTGCCATGGGCCCCTGTACCGCCCCTCCATGCTGCTGCCAGGTCCAGAGTGTCTCATGGGTCCCTGTACGGCCTCCCATTGCTGCTGTCTCCATCGCCACACTCTGCCATGTGCCACTTTCAGGTCTCCTCACACTGCTGGTGGGTTCCATTTTGTCATAGGGTGCTGGCAGATTACGGGCCTCCCATTGCTGCTGCCAGGCCCGTAATCTGCCATGGGCCCCCGTACCGACTCCTCATGCTGCTGCTGCCAGGCCCTGTAATCATGAGTCCTCATGGGTCCCTGTCCTCATGTGGGTTCCTCCCATTGCTGCTGTCCTCCATCGCCACACTCTGCCATGTGCCACTTTCAGGTCTTCCTCATCATATTTGCACCCTCCCTCCCATATGCTGGCCAAACCGTAATCTGGCCAGGTTCCCATTACATTGCTGCGTGTCAGGTTTCTAATTGATCATTTTATTCCTACCCTTGCAGTTATGGCCTCCCCCCAGTTCCTCATGGGGTCCCTGTACTGCCTCCCATTTGCTGATTTCTCCAATCCCCAACCCTCTGGGCCAAGTGTGCCACTTTTGCCTGGTCTCCTCACAAACTGCTACTAGGTGGTTTCCATTTTGTCATAGGGTGCTGGCAATAATTACGGGCCTCCCATGCTGCATGCCAATTGCCCGATGTGTTTAATGGTTCCATGGTCCCCTGTACCTCCCCACTCATCCCCATGCTGCTGCCAGGGTCCAGAGTGTCTCATGGGTTCCCCTGTAGTTTCAAACCCACCATTCCCAGCCATTGCTGCTTCTCATCCAGCCTTACCCTTTGCCATGCATGTCCATTGCCACTTCTCAGGCTCCTCACACTGCTGGTGGTTCCATTTTTTGTCATAGGGTGCTGTTGGCCTCCCATTGCTGCTGCCAGGCCCACAAGTGTCTCATGGGTCCCCTGTACCGCCTCCTCATTGCCAGCGCTCATCCTACAATCGCTCATGTGGTCTCTATACGGCCAACTTATGCACTCCTCGCCACACCCAACTCAGCTGTGCCCACTTTCTAGGTCTCCTCACACTGCTGTGTGTTCCATTTTGTCAGTAGGGTGCTGCAGATTATGGCCTCCACATTGCTGCTGTACGACCCTCGACTGCCACACTCGTGGCTCCACTTTCAGGTCTCCTCTGCTTGGATGGTTTTTTTGTCATAACGGGTGGCAGTATGCCCCCATGTACGTTCCACCTTGCCACAAATGAGTCTGTATTTGGCCCCGTGACCTGCCCAAATGAGTGAAGTGCGGTGATTCTAAGATCGACGGCACTCATCTGCATGTCATATTTGGTGTATGCTGACTGACAGTATTATTTCTCTTCCCCAGCAGACTCCAAGGGCATTTAAATTAAGGGTACAGTGTTCTGCACTAATATAAAGGCTCTCTGAAGCCTAGAAACACCCTTTTTAATAAGTTAAATTCGCAGCGAATATATTCGCATCGAATCGAATTTATTCCTCGAATATCGCCGAATCAGCCGAATCGAATTTTTGAATACTTCGCTCATCTCTAGTTATAATCCTACACCCACAGTTGAACCAGAGGAAGGCAAAAAATACCCCAGCAAAGCATAATCCAATTTGCTGCTGTAGGGAACAAAATTCCTTCCTGATCCCCCGTGAGGCAATCGGATATTCCCTGGATCAACTTTACCTATAAATGTTAGTATCCAGATATATTCTGTGTATCTAAGAATCAATCCAGGTTTTTTTTTAAAGCAATCCACTGAGCTGGCCAGAACCAACTTCTTGAGGGAGTCTATTCCACATTTTTCTCTCACTGTGAAGAAACCTTTCCATGTTTGGAGATTAAATTTATTTTCCTCTAGACGTAAAAAGTGCCCCCTTGTCCTCTGTGATGACCTCAGGGTGAATAGATCTACACCGAGTTCACTATATGAACCACTGATGTATTTACACATATTGATCATATCCCCCCCCTTAATCTCCTCTTCTCAAGATGGTGGAAAGTAATTCTACAGTGTGCCTAGTGTGCTGTGGCAAATGGTGGACAATGGTCAGATCATGCCTAAAGGTATGGGGGTAGCTTAAGGGTAAATGTTAAGTAAATTCTGAGTCTCCACTGAGCTGGCCAGAACCAACTCTTGAGGGATTCTATTCCACATTCTCACAGCTCTTACTGTGAAGAAACCTTTCTGTGTTTGGAGACTAAATTTCTTTTCCTCCAGACATAAAGAGTGCCCCCTTGTCCTCTGTGCGGTGATCACTATACTTGTAGTCCATTGACACTTCCTCCAGCTCTCTGACAGAAAGTCCATACCCCAGGTACAGAAAAAGAGCTGGAGGAAGAGTCTGCATTTTCCTGGCATTGCATCCCCAACCTACTGATCTTGGTCTCAATGCTTTGCAAGCTGATTTGCAAGAAAAATAATAAATGCATGTTTTTCCTGCAAATAATGTGCATTTATTATTTTCTTTCAAAGGGTGGACTTAGCCTTTAATTCATGGTTTAGTATTGTCTGCTTGGTTTCTGTATTTCTTAATCCAAAAATGTATTAAAGAGGCACTCCTGCCTGCCTGTTTTTATGCAGTTATAATGTCCAATGTGTACTAAAAATCTTTGCGTGTCAATTCAAGCAGTTGTGTACTATAGCTGTTTGTTACGCTCTATGACAGTTTTATCATAGGGGATGAAGCTTGCCAAGAGAGAGAGAGTTAAACACCCTGGAAATTCCTTGGTAATGATATGTTGTGGTGGAATTCTTTTGCTCATTTTCATGGTACTGAAGATGTTTAAATGCTCCCAGTAGGGAATGACCATGGTGGTCCTGATAATTATAAGTTCAGTAGTGAAAATGACAGCCTCGGTCTGTAGCTCTGTCTGCCCTCTCTTTTATGCCGCAGTGTGTGCGTGGGTTTGAGGGCACCCAGGCAGCAGGGGGCTGGCAAATGCCAAGAGCATGAATAAAGAGATCAAAGCACCTGATAATGCGACTGCCCGCAAACGAGTAAAGGGCACAACGTTTTGCTGCTTTGTGTAGGAGGACAGTTGTTTTCTCAGACTGCACTTCTGGCCCTTGTTAGTTTATGGATCAACAAGTTTTCAAACAAGAAGTAATGCTAAAATGTGCTCCAAATGATTTGAGTCACCTATTGGGCTGTGCAACTTTTTTAAACCCATGCAGTTCCATTGTAAAGGGCCTGTATATGTATTAAATTCCCATTCACTCCTACATTTACATTTTGGCTGCCTGTTGACGCACATATTATGGTATGTCAATGCACTTTGCCTATCTATTTTCAACAGGTCATTGATGAGATCTCATTTTTGTATCAGCACACAAGGCATTTTGGTTTTTCTTACATGCCTCAGACTGACCACCAGTGCCAAGGAAATGGGTTGGGGGGGGGGGGGGGGGGAATAGGCAGCACAGTGGCTAAATGGTTAGCACTTCTGCCTGGCAGTACTAGGGTCCCTGGTTCAAATCCCAACCACGGCACCTCCTGCCTGGAGTTTGCATATTTTCCCTGTGACTACGTGGGTTTCCTCCCACACTCCAAAGACATGCTGGTAGGTTAATTGGCTACCTACTGGCTCCTGTCTAAGTTGGCCCTAGTATGTGTATGTATGAATGTGAGTTAGGGAGCTTAGATTGTACACACCCCTTGAGGGTTAGGGACTGATGTGAATGTACAATATATGTATGTAAAGTACTGCGTAAATTGACGGCACCATAGAAGTACCAGAAATAAATAAATATGCTATCGCCCGCTGATGCCTGGGAAAAGGAATATTCTACTGGCCACCAATTCCTGAGAAATGGGGGGGAATGTACAGTATATTCCAATGACCACCATTTTCTCTGGATCTCTGGCCTCCCATGCTGTGTTGTGTATTCTGTTTCCAGTGACCACAAAGACCTTGAGTGGGGATTGCTTCTTCCAATGATGCTGGATCTTGGGGTTGGTGGTGATGTTCATCCCACTAGCATCCATCCACTCACTGACCGCCACCTATTTTTCTCCACTCACTGTGGCACTTGGGCATTGTTTTCTTTCACTTCATTCTAAAAGCTATATTGTACATTTATACTCCTGATTGCGACATTGCATATTATATAGTCCTGACAGCTGCACTCTGTAAACTGTGCTGGATATTACTTACTCCTGACAAAAGTGTATATTGTTTAACAGTTACTGGTTGCTAAGTAGTCCCCAGTTATTTTACAAAGATCTTCTTTAACCACTTGTCCTCCAGAGGATTTACCCCCCTTCCTGACCAGGCCATTTTTTTGCATTAGAGCGCTGCATTACTTTAACTGACAATTGCGCAGTCATGCAACGCTGAACCCAAATGCAATTTATGGCCTTTTTTTCCCACGAATTGAGCTGTCGGTATTTGATCGCCTGTGCGTTTTTTATTTTTTGCACTATTAAAAAAAGACGACAATTTTGAAAAAAAAAACTTTTTGCCATTAAACAGGTCCAGTAAAAAAATTTAAAAAATCAAATTTCATTATAAATTTAGGCCAAAATGTATTCTGCTACATGTCTTTGCTGGAAAAAAATCCCAATACGTGTAAATTAATTGATTTACGTGGAAGTTATAGCGTTTACAAATGGCAGTATATATACTGGGATTTTTTCT